ACAGGGCGTGGCTGCCGCCTCTCGCCTCGCCTTGGCACTCTTGCTCTAAGTTTAGCGTCTGGGGGTCCCTTCCCTTTGCTCTGTTGTGAATTTCTTGGAACCAGGGATTCTGTCTTACGGATTTTTGCACCGTTAGCACCTCTGCTGGGCTGGCCGAGGCCTCTGGAGTATTTGTGAGGGTGATGGCTCTAACATGAATGGAGCTTATATTTCCATGGAAACAAATTATTTTGGTAACAAAATGGTGGGGCCCTGATCCATCTAAGTCCTAAATCTTTCAAAAACGAAAGGACAATTTTGCACGTGCGTGTGGGTGAGCACAGCCCGGGCCAGAGAGGTGGGGGGAATGCGTCTTGCTGGGCTCGGTGGGCGGGTGGGTGCGGCTACGAGTGTGTAACGCACTGGGGAGGCCCACCTCGCACAGGTCGGGGTGTCGGCGCCCCACCTCACTGGGCTGTCCGAGGAGAGAGACTTTTGTTAAAGAAGGAAAAACATTTTCTCCTCTCATGCACCTGCAGATGCTGCGAAGGCATTAGCGTCAACGTCAAACTCACGCCTTCCTATTTGCCACCTGAATCCCACCCTCTCCACCCCATCGTCACTCCCCGCGGGGAAGCGGCAGTGCGAGGCTGAGTGGGTGCCTGGGTCTATTCACACGGGGAGGGGGGGTTCCCCAAAGGGAAGAGCAGAGTACCTTTCGAGTAAAAAACATTTAAAGTGAAAGAAGGAAGGGTTTTTCTACGAGTAGCCTAAGCGAATCTTTTTGGGGGAGACTCAGCCAGACTCCAGCACAGCTTCCTCTCCGCAGCCTCCGGATCTGCGCTCTCCCCGACCCCCCAAGGCCAGATGGACTTCCTCTGAGAAGGTTCGCGACTTGATTAAAGGCTTCTGGTCTGAATGCTGCTGACTCGACTGGGAGCTGGCCCGGCCTGTTGGCTGTACCGTTTCCTCTTGCTGACGGGGAAACCGTATCGGGTTCCCAAAGGAATGGAATGGAGAACAAACAAGGAAGTCTTAAGGCTTGTCACGGGAAGACGCCGGTCAAGGGATGGAGGGCGAGGACCACGGGGACACAGACAGAAAAGCGAGTCCGAGGAGGAGTCTGTCCTCGGTCCTCCCTGCCCAGGAAGGGGGCACAGTGGCTCATCCTCTCGTACCTGCCACGACGGGCGCTGTGCCGCGTACCATCAGCCGCTGGGGTCAGGGAGGGCGTGTGACCGGTCGGGGAGAGCAGAGGCAGAGCCGATGGTCCGCGTCCCCTCAGGCTGGCCTTGCTCTTGGTCCCAGGCGGGCCCCTGTCCTCAGGGCAGTGTGAGCTCCGGACGGTCAGGCCTCTTCCTCATCAGAGGAGCCCATTTGGAACCGGGCCAGTACCGACCCTGAAAACCCCCGGGCCCCGAGCAGTACCTCCTCAGTGTAGGCAGCTTTCTTTGCGAAGGTGCCTCATTGCCGGGTGCGCGTCTGCCCCCGACGGCATTCTTTCCGGTGCCTTCTGAGGAGCCTCAGAGCGCAACCTGCCAGCGCACGTCTGAGTGGGGCGCCGCCTGGCCGAAAGGGGGCCGGTCAGACGATCTAAGAAGATCCTTGGATCCGGCCAGACCAGTCCGGGGCGGGGACAGGAGTGGTGGGGCATGGCGGTGGCTGGCAGGCCTGGGAGCTGCGTGGCCGGTCCCGGGGGCTGCAGGCTGGCCGGGCGGCCGTGGCCACCTCCTCGGTCACGCGCCAGTGGACTCGCTGCTCGGCAGGCCCACCCGCAGGTAGTCTGCGTTCTCGGCCGTGGGCCCCGGGAAGAGGCCGTTGCCCTGGGCCTCCTTGGGCAGGAAGTCCTGCTGGTAGTCGGGGTTGTCCAGGCTGCTGTGGTG